AACTTAAGATGAGCCTTGCATTTTTATTCACAATAAGTGTCATTTAACAATAGAAACTTGCACATAAAAAAAATGCTGCATCTTTTTCCAGGCTATGCACGTTCTCTGTGCTGTATAAAATGTTAAAAAATATGATTTGTTTCATCTCCATGGCCTATCCATCCATTCCTTATCCCCACAATTCAGAATACTGCGCAGATATGGATTATCAACTGTGTCTATAAGTCATCTGTGTATGTGTGGCTGTCGCCTGTGAATTTGTCACGCTGAGCTAACATTGAACCAGACATCTTGTTTAAAAATGTGGTATGTAATAAAATCCATGTAGCGGCTTAAATTGTATCTCTTTAATTGGTTTCAGGTTGAAGTGGATTGGGCTTTGTTCCAGACACATTCCCAGGCTTCCTCATCTGGGATGCTTTGAAGATCTGTTTAGCTTCCAGGGATTTTTCTATTAACTATTGCGGGGGGGAGGGGGAGGGTCTAGAGAGAGAGAGAGAGAAGGGGTGAGGATATCCTATTTAATAAAAGGGTGTAATTCAAGGAAGTGTATAATTGTATAATTCTGAGCTCATTGTTACTACTGTGGAGCCAGACAAGAAGTGAATGTTTCCCACAGCATGGCGAAAACTCCTGTTGAATTTTGAGTTTAATGTCTTGTTTTGAATCCACTTCACGTAATATTGTGTAATATTATTATGTTCTTACTGGATATCACTTCAATGCCTGGTCTTTAGAGACAGACGCTAACTTCCTTTCATTCATTTATCGTGGGACAAGATCAAGCGATCTGGGATGCTACCCTACGTGTGGGGCGCTATATAAATGCTAGTTGTTGTTGACCATGGCAGCCACCTGACATGGATGTGAACTCGCTGTGGTCTGTGGCTGTGGCCTACCCTGGCTCCTGATGTCTCTTTATACTGGGTTGTGCTGCTGGAGCATCTAGAAGGTTGATCTTGAAAATGAAAATCATTTTCATCTGGAATTGTTTGCAAGGAGACAGGAAGGAACCTAGTTTATTGAAACCCTATTTATACTGCCAACACGTACCAGTCTGAAACTGTGACAATATAAATTCTTGCGTGGCACAGAGAGCGAGTTATCAATATTACTTTTGAAGCAACATGAATCATATCAAGTGTACATGGTATGTGCCACAAATGATTAATTGCCCAATAGGAGAAATCTTTCTTTCGGACTGACCCTTTCAACCGTGCCTATGGTCATCTGCCCCTCTCCCTTCTCCTGTGCCTGGTATCCAACCCCACCACTGTGCAGTGCTCTGAGATACAATCCGGCGTGAAGAGCTTTATACAAATGCAAATTATTGTTGCTGTTTCTTTGGCCTTGAATCAATCCTGTCAGCCTAGACTAAGAGCTCAAAGTCACAACATGGTGCTTGAACCCCCAACCTTCAGCCCCAGAGGCAGGAGTGCTAATAGCTGCCCCAAACTGGTACCTAGATACTAAATCAACAAGAACATTGAAATATCAAGAAGAGACAATAGAAATACTGTATATAAAAATATTATAATCTTGGTAATAGCACGTCATTAAGACACTATGGGATGCAAGAAAGTATGGACGTTATTTTACTGAAGGATCATGAGCAAATGGCATTTTGGCTATTGACAAGATAAATGTGACCCTGATATTTTCAATGGTGGACAATCTTATGTATCTGAACCAGCAACTTTGATGTTAGATAACCAGACAGTGAGATGTGATATAGACTCGCAGTCAAAGGGGACGGGAAGGAGAGGAGGAGCTGAAGGAGATGAAGGAAGGCTCTGCGGCCTGAGGGAACCAGGATCAGCTTGTGGTAGCTTCTCATTCTTGTTTTAATCATGAAATTCTTGCGTGAGTCTGCCTCTTTATATCAAGTACTCCATGTAGATTCAAAAAATGGAAGTACATGTGAGAGGAAGTCACCGAGGCCAATAATCTAGAGACACAATAGTGTGAGCCACAGTCATTAACGGCTAACTGTGAGTAGGATCTACTGTGGCATCTGTTAAGCAGACATGACACGGCATGTTCAAGCAAAGAGCGCCCAATGGTATTGTTTGAATTACCAACATGGTATGACTGGACTGGAAACATGCAAACAGACTGAGACGCACTTTGGCATTGCACTAATTTTAAACAAAAAAATGAGGTCCCCACTATGGCTTTCATTTGAGTCTTGCATGAATGAAAGAGAGTGTCCCGAGATCAGAATTAAAGTCTGTTGTAGTACATACTGGCACTCCCTCTTAGGACATGATTTAAATGCCACCATAAGAGAATTGACAAATCGTAAATAAGGATGTTTCGAGCAAACAAACACTCAATGCCAAACCTAGTGCAACTGAGCCATTGGTTGTCACTTTCCATAGCTCACCTCTGGCTGCTGAAGATCGTTCCACACATACAGTGACAATTGATGTGACTCATAATTATAATGTGCGGAGTCTAGACTACAAGAGTCATGAATGCTGAGGAATAAGACAGTAACTGCAGTGTGCCCCGGTTACTTCATTGCACTACAATTTCCATTGTCCCATTTCCAACCCAGCATAATGAGAAACAGGCGCCTATTTAGATATTGTCACTGTCGCTGGACTAGGATGTTTGTTGTGGTGTATTGGCTAGTCTATACAACAGTTGATCCTGGAGCTGCAATAACTGTCTATTTTTGTTGTTTTTCCCATCATGTCTTCCTCTCTACTGGCTCCTTTTTCCTTTTGCTCGGCCATGGGCCAAGGGCACCAACCAGCCATCAAGTAAAGGGCTCTTCCAATGACTTGCCCTTAGCCCAGCACAGTGTCACAATATTACAAGCCAGGAGGTCCACATCTGAATCCTTGTTGATCTGAATTTTAGCTGATCTCAGGGAAGGCAGCAGCTCAAAGCCTACAAGTAGCCTCAGTGCCCCTGAGTTTGGTAAAGAGTCACTCTCAAGGTTCAGACATGAATACATTGGTTGAATCAGATAGGGTAGATACAATCAAGAGGTAACTAGACCTTCACATGCGGGAGAGGGGAATAGAAGGGTATGGGAGGGATGAGGAATGGATGGAGATTGATGTGAAGTATAAATACCAGCACAGTCTAGATAGGCTGAGTGGTCTGTTTCTGTGCTGTACAGTCTGTGTAAGTACACAAGGGCAAATATAGAATCAAAGAATTTTACAGCACAGAAGGAGACCATTTGGCCCATCGTGTCTGTGCTCTTGGAAGAGGTACCAACTAATCCCACTTCCCCACTCTTTCCCCGTAGCCTAGCTTTTTTTTCTTTTGAGTAAAAATCCAATTTCCTTTTGAAAGTTATTGAATTTGCTTCCACCACGGTTTCAGACAGTGAATTCCAGATCATAACAACTCGCAGCATAAACACATTTCTCTTCATCTCCCCGTAGGTTATTTTGCCAATTATCTTAAATCTATGTCCTCTGGTTACTGACCCATCTTCCAGTACCTGTGGAACCAAAGAGAGAAATTTCACCTTGAGTCGGCATTTACTTATTTATGTAACAAATTAGAGAATCCCAAATTTAGTAAATTTCTTAAATACGCCTTAATTTTGAAACCGGGTTTCTTTAAGTCCTTTTAAAAACTGTAGAAAAACTTGTTTCAAGTTAAAACTGAATTCGAAAATTTGACAAAGTCTGGGCACTCTAAAATATTTACATAAATAAAATAAATGAGATGGAATTTCTACACTACATAACCCAGTGGAAAAAAGAATTCAAATGGATTCAGAAGATGATTAATTTTGGTTTGATATAAATGAGATTCCTAAAACATTTATAGTTCTTTTATTTGTCATTTATTATTAATAATAATAATTGCATTTGAAATAGTACCCACAGCATAGAAAGTGTCTGAAAGTGCTTCAAACGTGATTGTTGTAAAGTGAAGTGACTGTGTATTTGTGGGCAATCTGGGCAGCCAATTTGCACGCAGCAAACTTCCACTGAGAGCCATGAAGTGAATGGTCAATTCTATATGTGTTGGCCAGCATACTTGGGAGAAATTCCTTCCTCTTTACAAATTGTGTCATGGGATCTTCAACAATTGCTTCAACAGGCAGATGGGACATCAGTTTAACATTTCATCCAAAGGACTGGAGATACTGTATTTATTTCTTAATTATAATAAACTATATTATAGGTATAATAAGCTATTGATAACCTGTAACTTTGTTTTTATCTAAAAGAAAATGCCCTGACACAGCAGAAAAGAGCTGCAGTGTCTGATTTCATTCAACAAATTAATACAGTATCTTCAGCAAATAATGAAGAATAACTGAAATATTCTTCAGTATGAAAATTGTGATTGGGTCATGCCAGCCTCATGGGTAGAAGTGTTCATTATATTATGCTGCTAGACATAACTCTCATTTAAAAAAGAACAGTCGTTTTGAGAACAAAGGCTTCATGGCTTTTTGTTCTCTATTTCCTTTGGTCTCTTGTCTCCTCAGGCAGAAAAGCATCCTATGCCTGAGGGTACAGGCACGATCTCTAACATTGCATATATAGCCAATTGAGTTGACCATTCCTCTCTCTGGGGAGTGATTCCTCCTTCCTGGTGCCATAGGAGTGATCAGAAAGTTGCTGTGTGGTTGTTCTTTGGTGAAGAGTCACATCCCACCACACAGATAAGTTACGGTTCAGCTTATGGCATTGAATAGTCAAGTGTGACCCTGCACCAATAATAATAATCATCCTTGCATTTGATATAGTGCTTTATCATGTCTTTGAGACATCTCAAAGCACTTCACAGAATACACCATAAAGTGAATTGACTGTGTATTTCATGGATGAAACACAGCAGCCAATGGCGCACAATAGTGTCCCACAAACAGTCGTGAATTGAGAGACCAAATTATTATTATTATTTTTTGAAGGAATTATTATCCCCGGAAAAGCAATCCACCAATCGATTAACAATTGGGTTTCTACTTACTGCTAGGTAAGCTGAGGTGTGTGGAGTAAGGAAACTTGCCCAATATTTTGCCCTACTGGGAATCCAACCCAGGTAATCTCGCTTTCGAGGCGAGTGCTCTAACCACTAAGCTACAGGACTCCACAATGATAGTATGGGTGCAGGGGCACATGCTACTCCCTGATATTTCACCCAAGTGGCCATTCTTCATGCTCTTGAAAGTTGACAGCCTCTTCAGCTGTGGAGAGCATCTCATGGGACATAGGAACAGAAGTAGGCCATTCAACCCCTCAAGCCTGTTCCGCAATTCTATTATACATGGCTGATCTGTATCTCAACCCCAGTTACCCACCTTTGCTGCATTTCCCTTGATACTCTGGCTTAACAAAAATCTATCGACCTCAGTATTGAAAATTTCAATTCATCCAGCCTTCACAGCCTCTTGGGGAGAGAAAATTCCAGATTTCCACTACCCGTTGTGTGAACAAATACTTTTTGATTTCACTCCTACATGGCCAAGCACTAATTTTAAGATGAAACTTCCCTTGTTCGGGATTCTCCCACTGAGGAAATTGTTTCTCTGTAGCTACCCTATCGAATCCCTTTATCATGTTAAACACCTCAATTAGATCATCCCTCAACCTTCGAAACTCAAGGGAATACAGACTAAGTTTATACAATTTGTCATTCACATAAATACTATTTGCAGCAGAAGTCACTGAATATAAATTAGTAGCTGGAACCCCAGATAATTTTCCTTCTCCTTAGGCCATGGTTGATCAGGCCAATTTTAAGTGCCGCTACAGCATACTGAGATCAGCTAACTCAGTACAGACCTCAGTAATTGCTGTCAAGTTTAGTAACTGGCGGAAGCTCAATTTGTCCACATAAAACTCCCACAAAGAGTCACGAAGAGAATGACCAATTTTATCTGGAGATTATATCTGGAGAATCTAACCTGGGATTTTCCCTCAGCTCAGTTTGGTGTCTTTACTCACTAAGCTAGTCCAGGTAGCTACAGGGTAGCTACAGAGAAGGTTCTATTTTAAAAGAAAGCTCTCCTTTTTCCTAACAAAAACATAGGAACGGTTTATACAATCAGAAGAAGTTTTAAAACATACACGCTGCTTAAATCTGAGATAATTTAATGAACAAGCTTGACTTATTTTTTTATACTGTATATGTAAAAAGGTGACATATGGTCCTATGTAAAATAAATCATTCTGAATACAGAAAATGCAATACTTTACAAAATAAAAACAACTTTATTCATCTTGGGAACTTTGTAACATAACTACTGAAAATAACTGATTCGAATTTAATAATATTAACAGCTCTAAAAACAAGACGGAGATGCCAGTAAAGATTTCACAATAATCCGGTAACATGGAATCACTTGGATCCTTTACTATCTTTGACATGAATCAGAGATTCAGTAACTAGAAACTAGTGTTGGGGGATTTGTTCTCAGTTTTCTGAGACCTGTTACCACCGCCTTAGAAAATAAGTGCAAACCTCTATAAGAATATTTTCTGGATAAGATTAGATATAATGGCTACCTTAAGTATTTTTAAAAAAAGACAAGCAATAGTAGTTTTCAACTTGGCTTGTCATCCAGCTTTGATTGTGAGTACATAGAAAACTGGATAAAGAGCTGAACATTATCAGTAAATAACACAAACCAGGGTTACTTTATCCCCACTTTTATACTGAAAATTTAACTCCTGTAAACTGCACAGTGGTATGTCAGAATGTGCAGAATATAGTCTTGTATTTAGGCACCTCTGGGTATCAGATTCTTGTTGCATGAGTCGCGTTGTGCTCATTACTGAAATTGCCCTTATTCATACATCAGCTCACCTGCCGCACGGTACTAAAAGGGAAAAGACCTTCATCTTGCTCACATTATGCAACAAAAGTGACTAAGGAGGCCCTTTGTGACTTATGATGTACCTTCTCATGGCTGCAGCTCATGTACACATCAAGACCCACCACCCAATCATGCCACGTATATGCTGTAACTCATCCTAGCCATCTGTTACTCTCCAGGTCTCATACAGAGCAGGTTACATCTTCACATCCACTGCACTTTATACAGCAGTAAAGTCCAGAGAAAGTCTTGTCTATTCGGAGCATTCTCTTTTGTAGGTGTTTTTTTCCTTCTTCAAAGTTCTGTCATAAATATATTTCATTATGATTGCTGCCCTTCATTAAATTCCTTTAACTTGCCCTCTGTTGGGCATACACGCACTTGTATGGTTTGGATAGTGCTAGCCCAACCATGATGGTCATGTGTGGGGCCTTGTTTCAGCGAGATAGGTGTTTGAATGAAGCTCAAGAGGTGAGTCAAAGCACCCAACACAGAGTCAACTGGGCTCTCGGCCCTTGCCCTGTGCACTTACCATGGTGGTATCATCAGTGTAAGAAATAACCCTGCTCCAAATAGGTGTTATTAAAAAGCGTAGGTGAGGAGTGCCAACAATGAAAATTTCCAGGTTCAGGTGGAAAAAAACACAAATGAAAGCCTCACACTGTCCATGAGATCACCTGAATGGATTGATTTCCAGATACTCAAACTCACTCACTTACCATGACACCTCACTTGCTCTCCAACCTGCACACAACCCATTCCTCTACCCGGCCTCTTCGTTCAGCCAACTCGGGCCTTCTGATGTCCCTTGACCCCTTCGCTCCCTCATTCTTCAGCCATTACGTCCTAAATCTCTGGAACTCTGACTCAATTTGTCCGCCTTGCCCCCACTTCACGTGTCTTCAGGACAGGACTTTCTTCTTCAACCGTACCTGAGATCACCTCCCTTTTCTCCCCAGCTCAGCATCAAACTATGTTATTGATCAGTTTCCAAAACACTGCTCCGCACAAAGGCACGTGTTTACAAGCTATTGTCGTTTTGTTCTATTCTCAAGCTTATCCATTATTCTCTGGATGGCTGAATCTATTTAACTATTTACTCTTTTCATTCTCAATGTTCTCGTATGAAAGGGGTAAATGCAGATGAAACGGGTCTTAAATTTACATCACTTCTGTGCCAATGTTTGTTGCTCACATAAAACGCACACTTAACCTTACAGATGCTTCAATCCCTTTTGGTGATTGTCTATTGAAAATACAGTATAAATTGAGTTTAGTAAAGAACACTTTTTATATTTTCTTAACCCATGCTCTATGTATTGACACTCCCAGAAAGCATATATTTCAAGCATCCGCTGCTAAAAAAAAATGAACTGGCCTGTTCAAAACATTCCCCTGTTTTGGCTTTCATCACTGTACATAAAATCCTGTACAAATTTACACGTAAAATATTTAGTCACCACTAACAAGCTTTGTGGTCTTCAACTCTGCCTCTCTCCTTTGATCGTCCAGTCCATGTTTGTTTCTGTTTCCTTTGATGCTCAAATCGAATTAAAAGAAGATGGGGTTTGTTTGTTACTTTCATGTCATTGTCTGCAAATTGTTTCCTGCCTGCTCCCCTTTTTGCAATCTGGCTTCCTGACGTCTTACTTAGTTTCTGGACCTAGAAGCGTTATAACAGTTGCATTTCATGTACCATCTGAGCTTGTTGCCCACTGAAGCCAAGCAAAGCATTGACAAGCCACGCTGGCACTTTCTCACACCCGTGAACTCCATCAGTCACACCTTAAGGATTGGGGGGGAGTGGGGGGGACATGTTTGCATTCCGGTTATCCATAATATACCAACTATGCCGCCTCCTATCCCTTCATTGCCTGTTGTTGAATCCTAGATATAACCACACTATCATTAAGCTGAGTCTGAGGATCATCAAACGGACCAAGCTGTTATCAGTGAAATGAATTAGACTTCAACACATCTCCAGCCATGTCCACAATTTTCCTCAACTTTCAATTGCTGGCCATTCGTGGCACACTGCTGACACCCGTGTGTTGACTGAGCCAGGTCAACACAGCTGCATTGAGTAGGACCCTTCTTGAGTCTGTCAGCAACACTGTGATTCATTACATTTTCACATCCTGTTATATTTAGAAAAAAGTAAACACCAGATTTCTGCGCAGCATTGATACAGCTACCATTTTACATCGCTCACTCCACTTCTGCACGGAGAGACATTCTAATTGATATAAATCGAGTCATTTATTTGGGAATCAAGCCTCCTAATACTTATATTTAAGTATATTGAATTGAATAATGAACCTGTGTTTGCACAGCAGGTTTGTAATTGAAGACAGCAGTTTGCTCAATAAGTCTGACCTCTATTAGCCAAGCTGCTTGTCTTTATTTACAACCTCCTGTACCTCTGTGCACATATTCTTACTTACTTCATTAGAGCCTTCCAATCAATCACCTTTTATTCAGATGTTTCCTAGTTAATTTGAGTCTTTGTCTAACTTTATCTTATTTACTCACTGGGGTGTGAGCTAAATATTACAGTCCTGTATATGCTCCAGAATAGCACTGAGCAGTAAATGACACCCAGCAGGGATCTTTCAACAGATGTAAACGCAAAGTTCATTGAAAGGGGATTCATGGTACCATCTTACATCAACGTCACTCCCACACACTGGTTGCTCGCTGTGTGTGTAATATTGAACACTGTTTGCACAGAGCCATGCTCTGCTGAAACGGGTCCTCGTTTGTGCTGCTGATGTTGCCTATTGCCTGCTGAGAACTGACCCTCTCTGCATCACTTTGCAAAAATACCCTGTGACACAAACCAAAGGTTAGGATGCTTCTATGGGGATTCGTTTTTGAAATCACGTGCGGCTATATTTCAGCAATGCAAATTTACATTCCCAATGTAACAGTGGAGGAAAAATTACTGAACAACTTTACAACTGAACAAATCCCACCCTCTCCCCTCTCTCCCCCAAAGTTAGACACCACCTTCGATCGAGAAGGAAGCTCTAACCTTTTTCATAATGACCAGAGTGGAGATAATAATATAATAATAATCCTTGCATTTGATATAGCGCCTTATCACGTCTTCGAAGCTCAAAGCGCTCCACAGAATATGCTGTAAAGTGAATTTTATGAGCGAAACGTGGCAGCCAATTTCACCCAACAGTGTCCTGCAAACAGTCGTGGATTGTGTGACCAAATTATTATTTATAGATGCGTCGATCTTGAGGCTCTAACCTCTGTGCACCTTCATATTAAGCGTGAATGAATTCTTGTGAAGAAATGGCACTTTTACAGATATATTATTTACACAGTGTGTTCATACACGATGCACCTTATTTCACAGTCTTTCGCCTGCAGTGGAATGCCCGGTGCTCCTCAGACCTTTTGGCAGATGTGGAGTCTTGATTTTGCCTCTTTCCAGATTTTACAGGAAAGTCCTTTTGCACAGTCACAGCGCTGAAAGAGCTCCAAGCCATGGGAACCCTTCCTCCTCTGTTTGGTACAGACTTCCCCTTGACGAAGAACTGGTTTGCAGATCTTGGTCCAGAAGTGGCGGGCACAGCAGAATCCTTCCGCACAGTCTGAGGAGCGCAAGCAAGAGTCTCCTTCATGACCTGCGAATTGAAACATGTGCTTATTAAATAGATCAAGGAAACACACAAAGCCACTGTGTATCAACTCCCACCACAACGATAGTTTAAAAGGGAAGCATTTCCCTTTTTGGATCAGAAATGATGGTGTACTCTGGGTCAGTTTATAGTAGGGATGTTGATCCCAGGAACCAGAGCCGGATTAAACAATAGGCCAAGTAAAACAAGCCTCTCTTCCCGTCATTCTCCAGAATGAGGCTGCTCAGAGAGCGATGGGAAGTGGGGCGGAGCTGGAGGTATGACTTATAATAATAATAATCCTTGCATTTGAGATAGCGCCTTATCAGGTCTTCAACAACAACAAGATTACATTTGTATAGCGCCTTTTACGTCGGGAGGACGTCCCAAGGCGCTGGACAGAGTACAGCATTTCAGACCCAAGCTGGGGTCAGGGGAGGGAGAAGGGAGGGGAGGGGAAGGGGGGTGTCCGATGGCATGGTCGAAGAGGAGGGTCCTGAGGTGGAACTTGAAGGAGGCTAAGGAGGGGCGAAGTGGAGTGATTGGGGAATGGAATTCCAGAGGTTGGGAGCAGAGTGGCTGAAGGCTCTTCTGCCAATGGTGGGGCGGGTGGGTCGGGGGACATGGAGCAGGCCAGAGCCGGCTGAGCGGAGGGAATGGGCGGGTTTGTAGGGGGTTAGGAGGTCGCAGAGGTAGGGTGGGGCGAAGCCATGGAGGGCTTTGTATGTGAGGACCAGGATCTTGAACTGGATCCTCTGAAGGATAGGGAGCCAATGGAGTCGGGCGAGAATGGGGGAGATGGGGTCACGGAGTTTGGTGAGGGAGAGGACACGGGCTGCAGAGTTCTGGATTATCTGCTTCACAGATTAAGTGAATTGACTGTATATTTTGTGGAATAGTAGAAATATTGATCCCAGTTCTGTCAATGTGTGACCCAATAAATAATGTCATCTGATTGTGTCTCATTGCCTCCACTTTGGGGGTGGGGAAGAGTGTGGGGGTCGGGGGAAGGCGGGATCTCTTACTTAACAGAATTCCTTAACAAGAAATCTGATTCAGGGAAATAGGCTCTTCTTCTGGTAACTGACGTATGACATGCAAAGTCGAGAGCTTTGCTCCGATTGATATTCCTGGACTGGGGTTCCTGCTGGTTAAAGGGAATGCTAATGGGATTGCTAATTAAGGAATTTTTGCTAAATATATTAATCACAGGAAATGGCATAGTGTTGCCTCAAGTGGGGGGCGAACAAAGATGATGAGTGTCAGTGTAATTAAGGATTTCTCTTAACAGTCAGGAGATTTTTATTTTGCTACTTTCTCCCCTCCCACTCCACTACACCTTCCCTACCTCCAGCGCCCCCCCCACCCACATCCATCCCCCCGCCCTCCTCTCCTGGCTGTTGCTGACTTTTACTGTGTTACAATTCCAAGGGATGATAGATGCTCTCCAGCATTAAAGGGAAAGTCCTTCAGTATAGGTCTCTGTCCCTTTAAAATCCCACTTGCTTGCGCTCACGTTGACATCTGGCAGCAAGTAAATGTGTTTTACGATTCTCCTCCTGGGAAGAATCAGTTCGCCTGACGGTGTGATCGACTGCTATATGAGTCTTGCGTTGTGCAGCAACTGATTACACATTGAATCCCTCGAGCTAACAACTGGCAGGCTCCTTTCTTATGTTAAATCATTTTTTTTTAATGTTTCCGTTTGAAACACGAATAATTCTTCATCGCTACAGTTTTCACAATTCTATCAGTGCTCGCACCATGGATGGCATCGAGGAGGAAGGACCTGGTGTATGTGTTCCAGGCCTCTCTGACAGGATTGCGGCACTTCTGTTTGAGGGTGATGTTGTGCTGCTGGCAGACTCATCTGGGGACCTTCTGCACTGCACCCACCATCATGAAGACTGGACCAATCAGTGGGACATGTGGTGGGTGCTCCCAAGTGCGGAATCATGGTTCTTCACGGCCCAAGAGAAGACATCGAGGGAATTGATTGAAATAACAGCCAGCCTGGCTCATCAGCACGGCTTGGGAGGGCAGACCAGTCACTGGGGACAGGGACTCTTCCCAATCAGCAGAATAGTCGCCAATAAGTACGTCAGACGAGATGGATTCAGGTGGGAGGAAGAACAGTGCTCTTTAGTAATAATTGCTCTTGGATATCGAAAAAATCAGAAACTCTGTTGCCAGTGCTGATGGTAGTAACGGTAACCATTTGCAGTTGCCAGCAATGGGCCAGAGTGTGTTTATAAATAGGGTCAGTAATTATTGGACAGATTACTCTTAAATCTGTCAAAAGTGGATTATGAGTTTGATCAAGAAAAGACTGAACTCTTTAATATTTACATGCTCCCACTCGGTGATATCATCTGAACGCATGGGGTTAACTTTCACATGTATGTGGATGACACCCAACTCTCTCTCTTGCCCTCCGCCCTCTATTCCAGGACCACTTCTGTCCAGATGGATTGCTTGCCAGGCATCAAATCCTGGATGAAAGCCAACGTTCTCCAGTTGAATGTTGACATGACCGAGATTCTCCTGGTTGACTCCCACCAACACCTCCACAACTCGGATGTTGACAGCATCAATATTAATGGATGCACTCTCCACCTCACTGAGCTAGTATGGAACCTTGGTGTCTTGTTCGACCCTCAACTGTCCTTTATACCTATACCTTGACCAGTTCAGCTTTACCCCACCTCCCCAACATTGTCCACCTCCTATTGAGTTTAAGAGCCTTATCCTCACTTTTAAAGCCACCCACAGCCTTACCCCTTGCTACCTCTGCGACCTGCTAAAACCTCACCAAACTGCATGTTTCCTCCTCTTGACAGACACTGACCTGTTCCATGACACATACCCTCTCCTCCCACCATCAGAGGTCAGACCTTCAGCCTTTCTGCCCTCACCCTTTAGAACTCCATTCTGGAGTCTATTCGCCTTGCCCCTTACTTCCTTCAAAGCTCATCTCAAGACCTTCTTCTTTGACCTGTGCCTTCAGTCATCCTCCCATCACATCCCCTTGCCCTCAACCCCTCTTGATTCCAATCCCCAGTTCAGGTGCAAACCCCTGACTGTCCAACGACTTGGGACGTCCTATCGATGTGAAACACAGTGACAGAAAATACAACTTAGAAAGTGTTGCTCAAAATATATAAACCTATTAACTATTGCAGCTCCATCTGGTTATGGCACAATAGTTCATTACAACCTATGGTTTTCCCCCAGATCCAAACAATCCCTACATGACTAAAGGGTATGAAATTCTCAGGTTTTCTTGTTCTTCATTGCTAAATTGTTGGACAGTCATGTTTTTTATATAAACATTGTTTCACAGCTGATCCTTAGCTTTCAAACAAATTTAATAATAATCTTTGCACTTAGTATAGTGCCTTTCACGTTGGGAGGACGTCCCACAGTGCTTCGCAGAATTTACTGCGAAGTGATTGTTAACTTGTGGGTTGATTATGGCAGCCTGAGTGTGCACAGCAATCAACGTCTTATAAGCAGCCATGAAAGAAACGTCCAATTTTACTTTGGGGATTGTTGGCCAGGACACTGGGAGAAAGTCTTCTCTTTTGAATAATGTCAAGGGAGCTTTAACATCCACCTGGAAAGGCGGACAGGAACTTGGTTTAACATCTCATCCAAAGGACAACACCTCTGACAATGCAACACAACCCCAGCAATGCATGGGAGTGTCACTATTTGAACCAGGCTTATGACTAACCTTTCTCCCGTGACGGTTTGGTTTGTGTGTTGCCCACGTTCTGCCAATATGTGCCCTTGGTCCCATGGTGGGTTCTTTTCTTGCTGTGTTCTTGAATGTCCCCAGTGGTGGCTCTGTGATTGGTGCCTTCAAGAAGCTGTATGCAGATACCTGGAGAAAGGGATTCTCTCAGTTAAAAATGAGTTACATTCATACAGACAGTCAAACCAACAGAGCAATTAAGACAAATTTATAATAATAATAATAATAATAATAATAATAACAATAATCCTTGCATTTGATATAGCGGCTTATCACATTGTTGAGACATCGTAAAGCGCTTCACAGAATATACTGTAAAATGAATTGACTGTATATTTTGTGGACAATACACAGCAGCCAATTGTACATCAATATCCCACAGACAGTCGTGACCAAATCATTATTATTATTTTTTTGAAGGAATTATTATCCCCTGGAAAGCGATTCCCCAATCGACTAACAACTGGATTCCTACTTACTAACAGAGGCATGTGGAGTAACGAAACTTGCCTAAATTTTCACCCTGACAGATCCTCTCTCTTGTGAGGCGAGTACACTAACCAATACACTACAGGACTAACCTTTCTCTTGTATGATTTAACACTCATTTCAAAAGATAAACCCACTCACTGGGCACAGTAAAGGAAAAGTATTTATTTACTGAACATACAGCAGGAGGCCGAAATTTTTTTGTGGTGTTTGCCTTAAAACCAATGTTACTCTAAATCTGTTTTTCCATAGTTCTTCATTTTAGAAAAACAATTTCAAAATTAAGACTGAATTGAAGAGTTTTCCCAAATTCAGTAAAATCTTACATTTAAAGGTAACCATTGCAAAGGTTGAGAACATAAAGAATTTGAGGATTTTGGTGTCTTTATTTCTGTTGGAATGTATCATTGAACTGCAAAGACATCATTATGCAAATGGACTTTTGATTAAAGGCTCGCCTGGCTTTTCTCCATATCCACCGAACATGTCGAAGGCCCTTTTACATTTTGTATTTGTGTGTTTGCAAGCCAAGTCTGACTATAGATTATATAGAACAGAATTCTTTACAAATGGTGCCCATATTTTTAAAGGATGGAGGCCCTGTTGGAGTAGAGGTCCTATTATTTTGTTTCACAAGCTGAAGGGATAACGCTCTTGATTCCCTTGAGATACAGACTATAATAAAGAATTATTTGGTCCCTATTGAATTAGAATGGAAGCAGAAGAGGCCCCAAGTCATGACCCCGTCACATAGTCAACTGGAATTTTTTTTTCCTTTTTTATGATCTCAATTTCCCATATAAAAAAAGTTCAGATATGTTCCATATGTGTATGAGATCGTGACAATACATTCAGGTCTGTCTCGATTAGAACTGGGATTTGTTAAATTAAAACGAAATGTAAATTTTGTTCCAGTTTGCACATATTAGATACATCTGTCTCTTCAAAAGCAGATGGTCTAAATGATAAAGAACCAATGAGTATTATATACCTGCATTGAATGCTCTGAAAGGTTAATTATGAAACTCTCATCTTTTAGATGCGTGGGAAACTCTATGTACTTTGAAATCACTGGTTCATGCCAGTTGATTCTAAAAGGATTTACGTCCATATTTGCGGGATTTTGCTGCGCACAAATTGGCTGCTACAATCACCCACAAAGCACACAGACAGTATATCCTACGATGTGCTTTGGAACATCTTCCTGAAAATATACCATATGTAAGGATTATTTATTTAAATTAATGTATTCATGAATCCTGAATAAAATATGCCCACAGATGCAAGCACTGTCATCCTATCGTAGAAAATATCTCTTTAAAATAACTTTGAAAAGATATACATATTTGTGTGAAGAAATTTGAAAAATATCTCAACTGGTATGGCAACACAAGAGCCCAAAAGTAAAACAACTATTTTCATTTGGAACCCAGTTACATGTGTTTCGAATAGAATATGTCCTTGGCCATATTGTGTTCAGCCTGGCTCAGTTGTTACCACTCTAGATTCTGATTCTCAAGATTGTGGGCGCAAGCGCCACATCAGAGCTTAGAACTCATATAATAATAATGTAATAATAAACCTTGCATTTGATATAGCGCCTTATCAAATCTTCGAGATGTCTCAAACAGCTTCACAGAGTATACTGCAAAATGAATTGACTATATATTTTGTGGGCAAAATGCGTCAGTCAATTGCGCACAGCAGTGTCCCACAAACAGTCATGGATTAAATGACCAAATTCTTATTTTTATTTATTTATTTTTGGAGGAATTATTATCCTCGAACAAGCGATCCGTCAATCGACTAACAACTGGGTTCCTATTTACTGCTAAGAAAACAGAGGAGTGTGGAGTAAGGAAGCTTGCCTAATGTTTTGTCCATGTCGGGAATCAAACCAAGGTCCTATCGTTTGCGAGGCGAATATTCTAACCACTAAGCCTAAGCTAGTCTAAGATGTCTAAGCTAGTCTTAGAAATGTGCTGCGTTGTCGGAGGTGCTATCCTTCAGATGGGACGTTAAACCGAGAAAGTTTAAAGAAAGAAAGTTAAAAGGCACTACACCAAATGCAAGGATTATTATTATTTTTAAGCCTCCATGATACAGGACAAGTGAGGCTTCCATAACATCTATGTGATGGTGACCCTCATTAGTGATCTGGTTGCCCTCACTTGTAGAGTTACTTATCTCCTGGGTAGATCTTACTATTTGTTTCTGGTCCTCAGCCAGATATTGAATTCCAGAATAGAGATCAATCACTCCACAATAATGGGGTCTAAGCTGTGTTTTGGGTTAATAACCACACGCCTGATAATAATCCCTCAAGAAAAAAAACAACAATAAAATTGGTCACTTCAATCCACGACTGTTTGAGGGACACTGCTGTGCGCAATTGGCTGCTGCATTTCGCCCACAAATATACAGTCAATTCACTTTACAGTATATTCTGTGAAGAGCTTTGAGACGTCCAGAAGATGTGAAAACGCTGTATCAAATGCAAGGATTATTATTATTATTGTTATTATTATTATTATTATTATAGCACACTAATAAGTGGACTAATAGCCAACCATATTCAGATCCACACAATTTCCTCATATGATTAACTACTGAAACAAATTATAGAATCATCTGTAATTCTTTTCAATGGTGGTCAATTAAAGGCAACCAGTATGTATTTGAATATAAATAATAGTAATCCTTGCATTTGATATAGCACTTTTCACATCTTCGAGACGTCTCAAAGCGCTTCACAGAATATACTGTAAAGTGAATTGGCTGTATATTTTGTGGGCAGAACCCAGCAGCCAATTGCGCACAGCAGTGTCCCACAAAGAGTCGTGGATTGAGTGACCAAATTATTATTTTTTTTCTTAAGGGACTATTATCAGACGTGTGGTGTAAGGAAACTTGCCCAAGGTTTCACCCTGCCGAGAACTGAACCCAGGTCTCTTGCTTGCGAGGCAAGGGCTCTAACCACTGTGCTACAAGACTCTACATGATTATCCCATGAGATATAAGCCCAAACCAGATTTTGGATCCCAATGCAACCTCCAGGTATAATGGCAATAGGTCTTGACACTAAATAAAAGGACCTTCGAATTTTAGTGAGTTGTTGGAATCTCATGGCTAAATGCACTTGTTTTCTTTGCGGCAGTCTTGTGAAAAAGCAACGTTAGTTAGTATATCACCCGATATTAGAAACGTGGTCGAGCAGTTACTGTTATTTTGCTAGGAATACAGTACTTCAAAAATGAAATGAATAAACATTTGGTTGGCATGAAAGGCTGTAGAGGTTAAACATACACAGAGATGAATGATTAATTACTCTATAGAATATTGTGAACTGTTCTGAGCAAGAAAATACTACCGGTGGAAAACAACCAGACAGGGTTCAACAACAACAACAAAATTACATTTGTAAAGCACCTTTCACATCAGGAGGACATCCCAAGGCACTGGGCTAACCAATAGTAGGGATGTGAGGATGGACAGGTAAACTAGTCTTTTGATTACTGAGCTTTAGGTATCATTTATATTGTGCCTTTCATGTCAGGACATCTCAAAGCTTCTCACAATGTGGATGGTACATCAAAGTTATGGATGGGAGTTGAGTGGAGTGGGAAAGATAAACAAAAGCACAGGTAAAGAGAGACATTTTGAGCAAGAAAGAGGGAAAAAATGGCACTGTTTGTTTTGATCATTTAGAAACTTGATTGGAAAAGAAATGAATAATAAGAATAATCATTGCATTCGATATATGGCTTCACGATGGGAAGACGTCTCAAAGCACTGCACAGTATTTACTGTAAAGTGTTTTGAGTGTGTGTGTCTTCCAGCTGAATAGGATAGGGCAGGGCAGGGCGAAACCTTAGGCAAGTTTCCTTATTCCACATGCATCTATTTACCCAGCAGTAAGTAGGAACCTGGTTGTTAGTCGATTGGCGGATCACTTTTCCAGGGATAATAATCCCTTAAAAAAATAAGAAAAATATTTGGTCACTAATCCATGGCTATTTGTTTTGAGTGTTTGCATTTCGCCCACAAAATAAACAGTCAATTCTCTTTAGTTTTGAGACATCTTGAAGACGTGATAAGAAGCTATATCAAATGCAAGGATTATTATTACTATAAGAAGAAAAATTCCCACAAGTTCATTTGTGTTTGAATCAGTTTTCCCAGTTGTTTTGTTAAGTGCTCAGGATCAGGTGGTTATCACTGTCCCTTTACTTAGGCTTACACTTCAGTGATGGTCTGACAAACTGTGCCCTATCGGGTACATTACAGTTGCCCGAGTGCAAGCTACCCACTGCTCTAGGGTGCTGGGCATTAAAGAACTCAGCACCAAAAGGCAGCCAGCCACTGACTGCACTCAGACCCCTTGTTATGCCATTTCCGCTCTGTCTGTCTGTCTGCGTGCGCACAAAGCACTTAGCCCAAAAATCAGACTAAATGTTTGTTTTCAATAAGTTCAATTTTAAAAAAAAGGAACATGAAAGCCTCACAGCACATGCTATGATTAAAGTAAAGATCTTGGCAGCACTGGATTAGAGAGTAAGAAATCCCTGAATGATGTCAGCCTCATTATGAGGTCTAAAAACAGCCAGTTTATTTCTCAGCCTGACACTGCTTGATTTATCCCACATTGAGGAATATGCTCGTCGCAATGCTAGTGTTAGGATGGAACCTTTTACCAGTCTTTATAGCCAGATCACCATTGGCCACTCATTGATGCAGCATGGGTTCAATATAACACTAATCTCCCTCTCCTCTGTTCTAACAAGGAGCTCAGGTTTCCTCTTAAATTCCTTAAGCTTCAGACCATTGTCTTAAGACTTAAGATTGTGCAGCGCGTTGGAATATTCTTGAATTCAGTCATAGTTCAGAAGTCAATTTTCCAGTTTTTTTTGGTGTGACTATGGAAAATCCGAATCCAAATTAAGTCAAAATTTAAGACCTTTTTAAGACCTAAGTGAGTTTTGAGATAGACAAACTGCTTAAAGTGAAAGGAGTTTCAGTGAAACTACTTTGAATCAATGTGCCTGTCTGCAGTAGAACACAGGCTGATGAGAAGCAAAAAAACGTTTAAAAGTTCCGGGTGATCCATTGGGACCACTCACCCATACGGTTATTAATATTAATCCTTACTATCACTGCCCTCCTCTGGGTTTTTAAAACGTTAACAATGACTTGCCATTTGTCACCCATTAGTAGTGTTCAACACAATTTCCTTATGTGTGGTTGTGCAGGGCTCTTTGTTATTGGAAACTATTTGTGGTTTTAGCTGGTTAAACTGCACTGGTAGCCCTAGGCACAATCTGAGGTCCCCAGGTTTTGGCTCTCACCAGGAGGTAATAATCCCTTAAAACAAATTAAATAATAATAATTTGGTCACTCAATCCATGACTGTTTGTGGGATACTGCCGTGTGCAATTGGCTGCTGCGTTTCGCCTACAAAATTCACTTTACAGTATATTCTGTAAAGTGCTTTGAGACATCCCAACAACGTGATAAATCAAACGCAAGAATAATTACATCATACAACCTGCACTGGTTCCCTGAGGCACCCTCTGGGGTCCCCAGGTTTTGGCTCTAATCAACGTGCCCTTGGGTAAGTAGAATGCGTCCTCCAGGGAGATAGTGTGCAATGCAGTCCAGACACAGGGAAATAAATATCCATTCACCAGTGATGTGCATGTATAATAATAATAATAATAATCCTTGCATTTGATATAGTGCTTTTCACGTCTTCTCGACATCTCAAAGCGCTTTACAGAATATATTGTAAAGTGAAATGACTGTATATTTGTGATGTATTTGCAGCGTAAATAAAATAAGTGTACCGTTACTGCAGTAGTTTCCCGGGCAGCACATTGCATCTCGGTGGCAGCGTTTCTTCCTTCTCCGGCAGGACAAGCAGGTAGGGAAGCTTTGGTGATGAGAATGCTGGCAGTATCCCCTGGTCCCGCACTCTTTATCACTGCTACAGGGCTGAATCTACAGGAGGGGGAAAACAGGACGTAAGGGGAATGAAAAAAAGGTAGCAGCATCATTTGAGACAAACATAACACTCCAGATTGAAGGGGGCTGTGTAAAAACGACCCAATGCAGGTGCCCTGGAGGGCTGAGTATCAGGTTTTTGTGTGCTCTTGGTTGTAAGATTGTCTCTTCTCACTGAACTCCGTCACGTTATTGAGATGCTGTGAAAGCTAGCTTTGTCTGAAATCATTTTCACACAGATATCCTCTTCTTATCTCAGTCGCAGTGTCATTCCCTCTCAAACAATGTCCCCTCGTTTCACAGTAAACATCCCAGGCTTTGCCAATTTGCTGCTGGGTGTGAGACGTAAAAACATTTTGGCGATAACTAACACAACTGCTGTACATTCAGAAGTGTATGGTGGGCAGTAATTGACTGATACGGGTATTGCTCCCGTAATGATATATCAAAAGTCAGATCTCTTCCCACAATAGGATTTATAGCAATCTAACCTAGAAAGTTAGACAGTTTTTTGCTGTCAAAGAATTTTAAACAGATAGTTCTTTCAGAGAAATTGCACAGGCAAAAAGCATCAAATGGCCTCCTTCTATACTGCAAATTTCTATGATTCTGTTGAATGAAATTTAAAAATGTAGATATTTGTATTCAGCCAGATGCATTTCCCTTATCTCTAGGCCTGAATATTACTGATAGCATTTTTTATTACTTGACTAACATTGACAGCAGCCGATCCTACAAAACTGAAACCAACTCTGTCAGATTATGAGAATTAAGTGGGTGAGAGAATTTCTGAAACTGTCAATGTTCATTGCTTGGAGCATACACATATGGTTGCCTTTGTCAGTGACAACAAACAGCAACAACAACAACAACAAAATTACATTTGCATGGTGCCTTTCACATCGGGAGGATGTCCCAAGGCGCTGGACAAACAGTGTTTCGGACCTGAGCTTAGTTGGGGGTCAGGATTGAGGAGGATGGAGGGCAGAGTAGGAAGGAAGGTGACCAAAGACACGGTCGAAGATGAAGGTATTGAGACTGGTCTTGAAGGAGGTAAGGGAGGGGATGAGGTGAAGGGACTGTGGGATGGAGTTCCAGAGGATGGGAGCAGAGTGGCTGAAAGTCCGCCCACCAATGGTGTGCGGTCAAGGTAGGAGATGTGAAGTAGGTCGGAGCCTGCTGAGCAGAGGGAGCGGGTAGGCTTGTAAGGTGCTAGGAGGTTGCAGAGGTAGTGGGGAGCAAGGCCATGGAGGGCTTTGAAAGTGAGGACTAAGATCTTGAACTGTATGCTCTGTGTGATGGAAGCCAGTGGAGTTGGGCGAGGATGGGGTGATAGGGTTGTGGAGCCTGGTGTGGGCTACAGAGTTCTGGATGATCTGCAACCTATGGAGAGAGGAGTTGGGGAGGCGTGTATGAGGGTCTTGGCTGCCTGCAGTGTGAGACGTTGTCATGACCAGGCGATGTTGTGGAGGTGGGCAAGGCAGAGCGGATCATGGCACAGATGTGGGGTAGAAAAGACAGTTGAGGGTCAAACAAGATGCTAAGGTTCTGGACTGGCTCGGTGAGGTGGATTATGCATCCATGAATGGTGATACTGTCAGTGCCTGAGGTGTGGAGGCGCTGACAGGAGCCAGTCAGGAGGACCTCAGTGTTGTTGATGTTCAGCTGTAGAAAGTTAGCTCTCATCCAGGACTTGATGTCTGACAGACATTCAGTCAGCACAGCAGTGGTCCTGGAGTCAAGGGTGGAGTCAGAGAGATAGTGTTGGGTGTCATCCGCATACATGTGGAAGTTGACCCCATGTCTGTGGATGATGTCACCGAGGGGGAGTATAGAGATGTTAAAGAGGAGGGGACTAAGGACAGAGCCCTGATGAAACCCTGCACAAGATGGTGGGGGAGCTAGAGGAGAAGCCGTTTGTGGAGATGAAGTGGAGACGTGTGAGGGGTAGGATCTGAACCATTCAAGGACAGAACCATGACACTCACAAAACTATCCAACGCAGAAAAAAATCGCAGAAAATCAATGCAGCATTTATATTATTACGACTGCCCTCTCTATAATCTAAATGTGTGATCAAGGATGTAGGGGAAATGTTAATGGATTATTTACGCTGGTTACCAGAGGGCACACATTTAAGATAAAGTCAAACCTGTTTTCAGCAACCACTCAGCAGGACTGGACTGAAGTGGCTTTTACATAAGGGTGGCCTCTGAGTAAGGGTTCATTGGTGTGTGTACAATTTTTTGTGTATAAGTGTATAGAAAAATACAGAAAAATCCGAACCCATAAATCAAACTAGCTTCAATAAAGTAAAATATCAATTACAAAATACAAATCATTACTGTTTCTGCGGGACCAAAATTTCCACAGGCCTACGTGTACACCGACAGGACTAAAATAGAGACAGGTGGTTGCTGAATGGAGGCAATTTATTATGGAATATCGGTCCGGACTGTTCCAGGGTGATTGGTGAAGGCAGGTGGGTTGCTGAATACAAGTGGCTGCTTTAACAGGTTTGATTGTATTCACAAAAAGAACTGAAGCAAGGAAAAATATCTTCATACAGAGAGTGGTTGGAACGTGGAATTATCTGCCACAAGTCATAGTTGAAGCAGACTCCATAAAATCATTTGATAGTGAATTAGATAAATGGTTAACAAATAATAGAGGTGATGGGGAGTAGAGGAGAGTAAGTAGCTCATGTATAGAAAAACACCAGCACAAACTTGATCACTGAACAGTATGAATCTGTGCATTTTTGAATCCAGGAGAGACTGTACCATAAATTAAGTTTTTTGTTTCCTAGTTCAGAATCATATTGGTACTTCTCTATTAGATAGCTGTTTACTAACTACTCCCATGAATCCATTATTCTCCATGTAAAGTAAACGGCATAGGGAACTCCCTGGTGATCTGCTGTGAAATGTAATTACATTGCACTCTTTCATGACGTTTGAGACCATTTGTGCAGCTACAATAACACAACCCTTTGATTGTCAGTAAAGTATTACAACACAGTCCAGATGGTGAAGCAATAGTTTTAAATTGATGTTGAAATAGCAGTTACCAAGCGATGTTTTCTTCCTGATCTGCACAATTTGGTTTGTTCAGTCGGGAAGCACATGAGGAAACTCATCACCATACTTAATAGTATCCAAACAAATTTAAATGTTCTTGTGTCTGGTATGGCTGTGCAGACTCTCCCTGGAGGGATGCACCCTGCTAACCTAATTTCGGGAACACCATTACCAAACACATCACCCTAAAACCAGCTCAGCCTCGCTTGCCTCCCTCACACACCTAGGAAGACAGTCACTAGTTGGTGACTACACAAAGAGAGCCACATACAGCTACATATTTTAGAAGCAGCTAGAATTGGATTCAGGGTCTAGGGAGGCGAGTGATCATTTCTGTTGATCGCTCACTGTAACGTGCTGATGATTATACCTGAATACAATATAGTCAATATTGGAATATCTAAAGATTTCTTTAAACAATAATATCAGCATTTGAGCAGATTATTATTATCCTGAAGCTGCCATCTCACAGTCCAGCACATTTGTATAAGAAGCAGTCCTTAGGTACAAATCCTATTCTTGCTCTGTGAATCTAGGCAGTAGTATCACTACACTAATCTACAACAGCTTGCATTTATATAGTGCCCTTCATGTAGGTTAGAATCTCAGAGCACTTAATCGACTGTAGTGACATCCTAGCCAAGATTATCGTTCTCCTTGCATGGTGCTGATGAAGGAGAGCAGTGTGATCTTTCGTTTAACGTTTAAATCTCTTCCTCAGCTGTGAAGATAATAGGATTTCCTAAATCAGTTTAGTCTGGGAATGGAACCTAGGATCTCGCTAACCAAGCCGGTTAGGTACCAACGTACATGGTCCATTTTCCCACTGTGTCATTGAAAAGTGGAGAAAAAAAAATTATACTTGGTATTAGCTCTTATTCTAGACTGACACTTTCACTTGGTACTGGAGGAGTACTGCATTGTTAGAAGTACAGTCTTTCTGAAGAGACATTGAAGCTTTACTGGAAAGAAAATTTGAGATTTGTCTCACTATCTACATATACAATAGTTGAGGCTAACACTCCAGTATAATACCGGGAATAAGTGGTTTGGCCTATGAGCACACCATGGAGGAACTTGGATTTTTTCCGCTGGAACAAAGGAAGTCGAGGTGTGGCCTGATGGAGATCTTTAAAATTCTGTGGGAGTTTGGCAGAGTCAAAAGGGAGAAATAATTTCCACTGGTCAATGAGGCAGTGAGACAAGAGGGCATCATTTTAAAATAGTTAGTAAACAAGCAAATGCAGAGATTAGGAAAAAAAATTCACGCACAGAGCAGTTACGAAATGGAATGTCCTGTTGAGAAACAGTGGTTGAGGCAGAGTCCATATTGGCTTTCAAAAGGGAACCAGATAGATACCTTAAAAAAAGTCAGCTATGCGGGCATGTGGAAAGGGCAGGTAAATGTGACTTAAAGAATTACTCTTAAAGGACCTGGGCCTGACACAATGAACCAAATAACCTTCTTCTGTGCATATATTTCTCTGGTTCTGATAGTTCTATGGTTCTAAATGCTTACTATCAAATGAGATGTTAAACTGTCTGTTCAGTTGAACATTACAGAACCCATAGCATTATCTGAAAAGAGAAGAGAGGTGCTCTTGGTGTCCTGGTAAACCATCCTCCAGATAAATTAATTATTAATTTCATGGCTGTTTATGGGACAATGATAAGTGCATGGCAGCAAAATGGTTCTCATTACACAATTCCCATTAAGCAAATATATTATAATAATTTTTACATTTGATATAGTGCCTTATCACGTTGTTGTAAAATCGCAAAGCACTTCACGGACTTTCAATTTAACATCTCATCCAAAAGACTGCAACCCTGACAATGCATCACTCCCCTGGCCCTGTGCTGGAGTGTCACCCTAGATTATGAACCCAAAGTCCTGACTTGAAACTTGAACCCACA